AGTCGATTTTGCTTGTATATGGAACTGTTAGTACACACTAAACATTGCTGATTGTATCAGAACTAATCATAACTAATGTAAAAATGGGGAAGTCGTTCCTAACATGCTATTTTCCTATAGGGATGCACAAGCAGGGGCATTAAAACGCAACGAGAATGTTGGCTGATGTATTATGCAGAATTGAGTTCCGCAGCGACTAAGCAGGTGGATATATATATACTATATATGCTACTATATGATAGTTGCTTGCCCTCTAAACAGGTCTAAGAAACTCCCTTTTAAATGTCAAGTATTTAATAAATAGATATAAAATCATAACGTAGCTAATTGATGATCCTATGCTCACAAGACTCTGATACTGTGTGAAGATCGGCGTCCAAGTATGGCTGCCAGGTTTATGTCAGCACCCAGGTTACTGCCGGAACGTACACTGTACTATTAATATCGGACCGTACTCTTCGCCTAACTACACTAACATTACGAGTTCTAGGTGAGTCGCCTACGCCTAACTCCCTCGCCGAACCCGAACCCGACCCTACACATATCAGATAGTTAGCCACGGGTAACGTTCTGGTATATCGACCGTCACCCAGGGTACGTTTCTGGCAGTACGCAGGGCAGACATAGACGCTATCAACTCAGTGTAACCGAAATGCATCCGCTGATATGACTTGGTATAATTAAGGGGTTTCAGTTAATCTTGCTGCCCGAAAACTACGACCCAGGACACAGCCCGCAGCATCACACCCGTCACTCGAGCAGCCGCCCAGCAAGACATTCGCTGCTGCTTTCGACAAGGTGCCATGGCTGAGGAACGACTGTGAGTGAAAGTCTTATATTTTAAAATCAGAGTGTTGGGTTACATGTTAGACAGGTATCTTTGCCAGTAATCCCTCATAAAGCAGGGTAGATGCTAGCGATCTTCCTAAAAAATGTCCCGTTCATATGAATGTTTGATCTTGAATTCACCTTCACCATAGCTTCTCTATTTATTCATAGTCGTGGTCGTGGCCCCAGTGTGATTTATATTTATGTAATATTTTGTCATTTCACGTGTGGTATTTACTGTGACGTTTTTTGGCAGGAGGAATATCTGTTGAGCATTGGAAGAATTTTCCACAAGCTTAGTAGGGTGAACGGAGCAAGTGAAATTTTAGTCACCATATACAGACGTAGGTAAAACACATTAATTTATATACGTATCTTACTGATTTGCGTGTTATTCTATATGCAGTTTATTATTTTAATTTTGAGTATCACACAAAAACTGCAGTTTGATGTGAAAATTGAGATAAAAAAAATTTACGTGGGAAGAGTGGAATTTTTTTTATTTCACCCATTTTGTGAAAAAAATAAAACCAGCTGCATGCAAATATAGTACGATCTCTTTCCAAATCTCATTCATGCCAGGCATCCACACAAGACGCAGAAGTTCCACTACACGTATCAGTTTCGCGTGCCGGATAGCGACAGCTACGGCATCTCATGGGTCGAATTCCGACACGAACAGCTGGAGAACTACAACTGGAATCACCTCGACAACGACATCATCCAGGAAGACAGATACTGCCACCTGACTCAGGTGATTAAAGGGCAGGACATACTAGGCGCTTTTATCGGGCGACTCAGTCAGGCGACTCAGTCGGGCGATTCAGTCTGGCGACTCAATCGCCGGTGAAAATCGCCTAATGTGTCCAGTCAGTCGCCGCCGATTTAGTCGCCCGATTTAGTCGCCCGATTAAATCGCATCGATAAAAACGTTTTGATATTATCGGGCGATTATTTCAGTCGCGCGACTAAATCGCGTGATGTGTCCACTCGACTCGCGCGATAAAGTCGCCCGATTAGATCGCATTAAAATTGCCTAGTGTGTCCGGCCCTTAAAAACTCAGGTCTTGCGTGACTCACACGATTAACTTTAGATTACGATATCATTAACTACAAATTAATCATTAACTTACTATTACAATTAGCGATTAGTTAGTTCACGCGCGATGGTCGGGGCGCGCACAATTAGGGTTACGGCTAGCGCTAATTACCAAATAACGAGCATGGACGGATGTAGAGATCGGCGATTCATGAAGGCAACCTACTGAGCGAGGTTGTGTGTGCAGCTATGTTCAAGTTATCCCTCTAAAAGCCCTGGGGCCCATTGTCAGAAACACAATTAGTCTTAACATTAGTCTTAACACTAACATTTTCTCGTAGACCGTCGACAGCGCTTTGTTTCGTATAGTTATGAGGAAATCTTCTACGATTTTTCATTCAGGTAACTTCGTAGCGTTTCTGTCGACAGTCTAAGAGAAAAAGTTAATGCTAAGACTAATGTTAAGACTAATTTTGTTTCTGACAATAGGCTCCTGAAATTTACCAGCTGTTTAATCGTCCAGTAGCAGTGGTTATGCTCGGGATGCGTGTCCATGAAGGTCGTGGAGGTCGTCGAAAGTGTCTGCGAAATCGCCTATAATCTTACGTCCTCTAGTGGTAATCGCCGGGGATAGGCGCACATTCGAGTACACGGCTGACTCTCAGTTCGGAACTTCTCTTCTTGATGTTCGTTGCTATTCACGACTGACGATCTCGGAACTTCTCTTCTTGATGTTCGATCTTGATGTTTGATGCTGTTCACGACTGACACTGAGTTCGGAACTTCTCTTCTTGATGTTTGATCTTGATGTTCGGTGTTGTTCACGACTGACGATCTCACGCCCATTGCAGTTCATGAAGTACTGGTACCGTTACAGTACTGGTACTGAAGTACGAGCTCAGAACTTCTCTTCTTATATATTCTCATATATTTATCTCTACTTATCATGCCTGATCTTGACTGCTGTTCGTTGCAGAGCATGAAGTACTGGAGGAGCCGCTACCTGCTGCTGCCGTGCAACAACCCGGCGACGAAGCGCGTGCTAGAGGGCGCTGAACGCTGCGACGTCTACACGCAGAAGACGGTCGAGGAGAAGCTGCAGCTGATGGACGGCTTCGTCCGCCTCATCGAGGTGCTCAACAAGATCCGGCGGCCGGCGCAGGCCAGGAAGCCCATGGTGAGATCTCTGGGGTGGAGGGAACACCGACGGGAAGGAGGGGGGAGGGAGGAGGCCGGGAGGGAGGGGGTCGGCGCAGGCCAGGAAGCCGATGTTGAGCTCTCTGGGGAGGGGACCGGGGAGGGAAGGGGTCGGCGCAGGCCAGGAAGCCGATGGTGAGGTCTCCGGGGAGGAGGGAACACCTGCAGGACGGAGGGGTGGAGGGGGAGGAGGCCAGTGCAGGCCAGAAAACAGATGGTGAGCTCCTGGGGAGGGAGGGGGCCGGCGCAGGCCTGGAAGCATTAGGGCGTGCGAAAAGTACCAATGGGTCATAGGAAAAGCAGCGTTGGGTCATGGGAATAATACCATTTGCTCATTAGAGAAGCACTAATGGGTGGTCAGAAAAGCACCGTTTAGGTCCATAGGAAAAGTAGCTTTGCAGAGAGGTTGGAGCAAGATCAGTAGCGATGGCTGTTGTTGATAGCGCGCTGCCTCAGCGAAGCTTGTAGCTGGTTACTGTGCAGGGTTTCCCTGTCCTAACACGCACGCATATATGCTTCTTCTCTGTTAGCGGCCCCGCACTCCGCTAGAGATTCACAGTCAGCGGCTTACGAGTCCCCCTCCGCCGAGCGCGGTCACAGCCGAGGCAAGAGATGGTAGCGGTGAGGCAGGAAAACCAGCACAGGAGCACAGCGCCACCTCGTCGGGTTCCATCACACCTGTCGTAAGTATAACATCAGGAGTAAGATAATATAGGCCTAATATATACCTAGGCTATATAATATAGCTACTAGGCTTTATACTAGTAATACCGTAATATATTATATACCGTATTATAATATAATTATATAATTAATATATATAATTAATTAATATAATAATTACTAGTAGTAATTGTAGTTTTTGTAGTAATTACTATAGTAATTAATATAATAATAATTAATTAATATATTAATTATAATTAATTATATAATCATATAATTATATACCGTAATACTAGGCTAGATATATATATATATATAGGCTAAATAATATATACCTATATTATCTTACTCCTGATAACATTGTACTACCGTCTCCTCTGCAGTGTAGTATTGATAATGATATATTAAGGAATGGTAGGGCATACTTATGCGTTTATGTTTAGCTAGTTTACTGTGAATGCAGCTAATGAACAGGTGGTAGAGGTAGGTAAATTAAGGAGAAATAGAGATAGAGTAAAGGGAGAGAGGGGGAAAATAGAGGGAGAGCGAGAGAGAGAGAAAGAAAGCAAAAGAAAGAGGTAGAGAGAGACAGAGAAATAGATATGCTCACACGCACACACGGTCACAGACAGACAGAGAGAGAGAGAGGGAAAGAGAGAGAGAGAGAGGGAGAGGGAAAGAGAGAGAGAGAGATGCTTGCATGCATATTGTACAATAATAACCGTGTCTTGATATATAACAATAATAACCATGTCTTGTCACAAAACTCTGGACTAATCCTGTGATGTACGTAATACATTATTGTGTGTGTGTGTGATTATAAAATGTGATCACAGATTCTCTAGTCATCATGCACTATAGTCTGTATTTAACTCGTATGTGTATGTCACTTTTTGTGGAGAGTGAGATCTGTTCACAATTTAATTTTCACAGTGTATTGCAAGCAATTTATAATAATAATAAATTCACAGATTAATGCAGTGTTGATGTACGGTGAGAAAACATGAAAACTTGTATTCGTGAACTGCATGTGTATAATTTAGATCGTGCGTGTCTGAGAGTCAACAGTTATCAGAGTGAATAATCTGGATTAGTTCTGTCAGTATCGTGAATACTATAGTGACTTGAGAATGTATATTTTCTCTGTTTTATCTAAACGATTTGTTGCTATATTAGTGCTAAAATCAATGGTTACCAAGTATGCGATATGTAGAGTCTGGCATGCATATATATGCTGTAGCGCTAATATGAAGGGATGACCATTGCCTTGCAGTATCAGTTCCCGGGAGAGGCAGTCAGGCTGGTAGCATGGTGGCACCACGTACAGCCGAACATAAGAGGAAAATGACTTTCTCCTGGAGTCAGCACGAAGTTGAGGATGAAAAGGATTGGATTATGAATCTTACCAAAGGTATACTGTATACGCTGTATATTTCGCAGTGGTTTAATTTTCGCGAATTTTGCGAACGCGTCCCCGACCGCGAAAATAACAACACGCGAATAATTCATACCGAATAATACCGAATAATTCATAATTCACCGACCGCCAAATTGACCACTCGCGAAATTGTCTATCATGTTTGAATTCACGAAAATATCTGTACGTGAAAAATATGGCGTATACAGTAATATATGCTTTTAAATTAGTGTTCATGTCACAATTGGTTGTTGTGTTGATTGAAATCCGTTTTGCAATAACCCTAAATAGCTGCAAACCTGAGAATAAGTTACCTAAGTAACCAAGTTGTGTATTTACACACAAGCAGCATCGTTATTTCAGCATGTGTATCGATATGAGGGTTTGGAAGATGGTGTTGATAATTTCCTATGGTCAGTGATAATTACCAGAATGAACAGTAGAGCCGGTCATCTTGTGTGAAGTAGCAAGATTGTATTCTATGTTGCTATCCCAACAACTCAATCGCTTGCGTCATCCCTAACATTGTTTGTCATGTGCAGGAGTTGACTGGAAGTCCATGAGCGTGCCTGCCTGTCTTCCAATAACCACTGACTACTTCCCAGACAAAAGGAGTCTGCAGAATTATTATGTCGTCACGGACTATCAGCTATTGGCTGACATTGTCTCCTCTGATGTGGGGATCTATGGCAGGTACTCGGGACATGTTTACCTATATATATAGGCTTTCTAATTAATGGTCTGAATACTTAATTACAATATTGCTCATTAAAAACAATATGTACAGATGTGCGTGCTGTCCTGAGACAATGTCTGCTCATTTAATTTCAAACTACTAGAGGGCACCAGTAGTCTTGTCAACTTATTGATTCTCATCTGTTATGCTAAGCTCATAGTTATCTTATAATTAACTGACAGTCGATTTTGCTTGTAATGGAACTGTAGTACTGCACTACATTGCTGATTAGTTCAGAAATAATCTAAACTAATGTAAAAAATGGGGAAGGATGTTCTAACATGTATTTTATATAGGGATGACAAGCAGGCATTAAAACCAACAGATGTTGCTGATGTATTATCAGAATTGGTATCGCAGCGACTACAGCAGGTGGATATATATATATATATATGTATATATGTATATTGCTTCCCTCTAACAGTGTCTAAGAAACTCAATTTAAATGTCAGATATTTAATAAATAAAATATAAAATCATAAGTACTATTGATGATCCATGCTCACAACTTGATATTTGTGTGAAGTCAGGCGTCCAGTATGGCTGCCAGGGTTTATGTCACCCAGGTTACTGCCGGAACGTACCCTGGTACTATCTAATATGCCGGACCGTACCTCGCCTACTCCACTAACGAGTCTAGGGAGTTGCCTACGCCTACTCCCTAACCCTAACCCTAACCCTAACCCGAACCCGAACCCTAACCATATCAGATAGTTACCAGGGTACGTTCTGGTATACCGGACCGTACCCAGGGTACGTTCTGGCAGTACCCAGGGAGACATAGACCCTATCAACTCCAGTGTGAACCGAAATGCATCGCTGATCATGACTTTGGTATAATTAGGGGTTTCAGTTAATCTTGCTGCCGAAAACTACGACCCCGACACAGCCCGTCAGCATCACACCCGTCACTCCAGCCCCCAGCAAGACATTCGCTGCTGCTTTCAAAGGTGCCATGGCTGAGGAACAGACTGTGAGTGAAGTTTATATTTTAAAATCAGAGTGTTGGGTACATGTTAGCACAGGAATCTTTGCCAGTAATACTACATAAAGCAGGTACGATCTTTCTAAAAAAAATGTCCCGTTCATATGATGTTTGATCTTGAATTTCACCTCACCATAGCTTCTCTATTTATTCATAGTCGTGGTCGTGGCCCCAGTGTGATTTATATGTAATATTTTGTTATTCCACGTGTGGTATTTACTGTGACGTTTTTTGGCAGGAGGAATATCTGTTGAGTATTGGAAGAATTTTCCACAAGCTTAGTAGGGTGAATGGAGCAAGTGAAATTTTAGTCACCATATACAGACCTAGGTAAAACACATTAATTTATATACATATCTTACTGATTTGCGTGTTATTCTATATGCAGTTGATTTTTTTAATTTTGAGTGTATCACACAAAAACTGCAGTTTGATGGGAAAATTGAGATAAAAAAAATTGACGTGGGAAGAGTGGAATTTTTTTTATTTCACCCCTTTTGTGAAAAAAAGAAAAGAAAACAGCTACATGCAAATATAGTACGATCTCTTTCCAAATCTCATTCATGTCAGGCATCCACACAAGACGCAGAAGTTCCACTACACGTATCAGTTTCGCGTGCCGGATAGCGACAGCTACGGCATCTCATGGGTCGAATTCCGACACGAACAGCTGGAGAACTACAACTGGAATCACCTCGACAACGACATCATCCAGGAAGACAGATACTGCCACCTGACTCAGGTGAGTAAAGGGCCGGACACACTAGGCGCTTTTATCGGGCGACTCAGTCGGGCGATTCAGTCGGGCGACTCAATCGCCGGTGAAAATCGCCTAATGTGTCCAGTCAGTCGCCGCCGATTTAGTCGCACGATTTAGTCGCCTGATTCAATCGCATCGATCAAAACGTTTTGATATTATCGGGCGATTATATCGCGTGATGTGTTC